AATAAATTCATAAATAAAATATTATTTTTTATTATACAGTTGGACATAAAAATATATGTATTTTTTTTTTGTTATCTTAATTAACCCAACGATGTTCAGATCCGTATAATGCTCGATCTATTGCATTACACGCATTGTTCCTGCATGGTTGTGTGAGCTCTACCCAATTTCAGCGAAATGACGACACTTACTCCCTTTTGATATTATTGTTCAATTCCAACAGATGCCACTGTGAAGCTAGTGTGCAACAACACCAAGAACCCAGAAGTAACAGAGGCCAAAACCGACAAAAACGGCTACTTTTTCTTGCAAGCGTCCAAGCCCATGACCAAGGATGGAGCAAAAGCATGCAAGGTGTTCCTCGGACCATCTCCGTTGCCTAAATGCAGCAAACCATCTCCTCTCAACAGTGGTGTGTCTGGCGCTGAGTTGAAGTTTGAGAAGGATTTCCCTAGCTGGAACAAGCTGTTTCCTTACTTCCTCTACAAAGTTGGTCCATTTGCCTACGAACCCAAATGCTACTAGATTTGTCACATACGAATTGTGTCCTATACTTCTATTTAATTTGTTCCACTGATGTGATGTTGGTGACTTGATTGCAGTTGTGTTAATTTCCTAGTTCGTTTTACTTATGTTAGTGTTTCTTACTTTTCGAAGTACTTTCTATGATATAGAATAAAGAGTTCCTTGTTTGTTGTTGGCATGGTAAAATATTTTTTCAAAGATAAATTATCAAAAATATACTTAAAATTCAAGTTTAAATCGTTACTTAATACAATTTGATAAGAGTAATGATTAATGAAATTAAATTTTAAAATAAAATTATTTTAATCATTAATTATTATATGAGACTCACGTAATAGTTAATATAAATTTATTTTAGTTTTTTCCTCAAAAATTAATGTTAAAAATTGGTCCTATTATTATTCATTTGATAATTTATGACTTGACATTTATATCTCATTACAATCACACTTAATTCTCGATGTTAGATATTAATTCAAAGTGGTGTGCCACAATTGGGCTAGCCTTAGCTCTTGCTAAACTAGATCAAACTTCGACTTACCCACCTTGGGTTGGATCCTAGATTCATAATTTCAACCCAAAATTCAAAATGACTGTAAACCCTTTAGTTAACTAACTTGGGTAATGAGGATCAACCGCAAATGAACTGAAAATTTTAATTAATTTGTTTAATTAGAAAATATTAGTTGAGCTGCAAGTGTTGCTCTTAATATTTTTTTTGAAAAATTATTGATACACATTCAATTTAATATATTTTTAATATTTATTTTAATTTAATTATTAAAATATAATATAAAATACAATCAATTTAATTAATTTTTATATTATATATATAACTATATTTTTAAATTTATCTATTTTTTATTTTATATTAAAAAATAATAAATTTTTAATAAATATATTTCACAATATACTGAACTACACTAAAGTATATCAACCAATATCATACTTTTTTTTAAGGCATGACACACTTTTTTCATAGGTCATGGTATCATACCACACACAAGTAAAATCCGTAATGCCTTTCAAAAAAAAAAAAAAAAAGTAAAATCCGTAATTATAACTCTTATGGAACTGACACTGTTTTTCTTTGAAAATCACTGCGAAGAATTTGTTGCCTGGGTATGCCAGCAATTTAATCGACCTCCCTACTTTGCTGTAAGTTAGCCACTTTTTCTAAATTCATCTATTGTTATCCAAGTCTAGATTTAGATCTAAAATTGAATTCACAATTAACATCTGACATTTGGGCAAATTAAGAAGGAAAAGACCTCTATGTTTCGAGGTTAGAGCATTGCATTTTGTACTAATGCTATGGTCTGAGTCTGAGATCTCTTTTTCATTTTTATATATCTTAAAATAGAGTTCTATATGAGAAATGTGAGACATTGAGAGTGAGTTTAGGCCAATGGCCATTCGACACATATAGTGGTATGACTTGTTAATTGCTTTCTCTCCCTGTATTGCTTATAATGTTAGAGACAAGGTTAACTTGCCTTAGTTGGCTTAAGACTACA